AGAGATACTAATTTTAGCAATAGAGCAGACATATTAATACATCAGGCTGAGGTCTGATTTTCCCTGTACAACAGAAAAATCAAGATATTTGAACTAGAAGGATCATTGACCCATACTTCTTTTCCCTCCTTTTCAATAAGAATCTTATTGAGCTCTAGAAACACATTTCAGTTTTGATGTCTCTGATGCTTGTACATTTTTTCTTTCCTGTGTAACTTTTTCTTATAGTTCCCATGGAAAGTAGTCCATATAACCCACACATTTTTCAAGACATAACTACTTTTATAAATAGTTGCCTGATAGCATTCACAAAACACAAGCTTTAATCAATGATAATTACGTATTTTACAATCAGCATTTGATCCAGAACAGTAAAAGCTGAAATTTTCTTATTTTACCCAGTTATTTCTATTCATGATAATTTACATTTGATTCCCATTGTTATGTAGCCTAGTAGCCTGTTCGCTTTCATGTTTCATCTTGTTGCTAGCATTTATTATTACTACTAGATCACTCTCTTAATTTTTGTTCTATTTCTGCTCTATCAAGCACATACTTTTATAATTTATTTGTTCAAATCAAGTGCTAGAGTTTATGTTTTGAGGTACTGAATTCCATTTAGGACTCATTTTCTCCCTTCCTCAGTCACTTGATAATAGCCTGAAATTTATTGACTTCTTCAGCTGTATCAATAGTGTTTTCTGTTTAGTAGCGTCAGCGAAGTGTAGGTATCTAGCAAAATCTTGCTCTCACTATAGAAACATGCACATTAATTTAGTCCCAGTATTGAACTGAGACTGAATGACCCCAACGCATTAGCTCTACTTTGTCTTGAGACAATAAACCGAAGTCTTCTATACTTTTCTTCAATCTCAATAAAGCCTTAAAACCTTGTTAAATGCTTCCCCTGACCCTTATGATAAAATTCAGGAAAATCAACGCGCACACGCTGAAGTTTTTATATAACTTCTTAGGAAACTTCATTTTGTACCATAAATTCTGTGCCCTGTATATCAGTGTCAAGCAATTCTAGTTTATAATATGCTCTAATGTTTTCCCTTGTATTTATGGTTAAAAAATAAAGTGGTGGTCATACACAAAGCAAAAACAAGGAGAAAAATTCTTTTACTTGTCTCAGCAAAACATAATCAAGAGACAGTGTGCTCCTTCAATAACCAGGTAGGGTCTTCCATTTTCACATTAAAAAAAAAAAAGCCTCTGAAAATACATATTCGCCCTGCCTTCTATACAAACTATTTCTTCTTTGAGACCTCTTTACATACAACTTTTCCTGGAATGCAAGTTTGAGCTACTGAAGTCGATCCAGTAACATGAGTTTGTGGATCATTTTCGGAGACACCTGTTTGACAATAACATTATTTTCATCATAGTTCAATTCATAATACCAGCCTGTATTGATTTCACAATTATTTTTCCTATTTGCCTTCTGCATATACAGCTGAAATTCAAGAAGTCTGCGTATCAACCACAAATGCCAATGACATTTAATAGCTGTGCTTATTTCAAAGCTGCAAAATCGATCATCTTCAGTGATCTCCTTCTTCATCTCTTTGTCACTTCTGGCATTCAAGAGTAATGGAAACCAGACCACTGATAGCAGAGCTCAGTCTAGGGCAACTGAGCATCCAAAAAAATGCTGATGCTGTTGTCCCACCTAGATTTAAGGCTAGATTTTGCTCTTGCTATTTATCTTGAATGTTTTTCAAAGGAATAGTCAAACCTCCTTTCACAAATATGGCATTTCAACTCCAGCTTTTCATTAGAGCCCATTCCTTGTGATACTGTAACTTACCAACACACTACTAATCCAGTGCAATGACTTTTCTGAAGGATATGTTTTATTATCAACAGAGAGATCAAAATCCTAAAGATAAAACAAAAACAAAGAACATGGAGAGCCAAATGTTAATGTGATTTTTCAGAATAATTTAAGATATTTGCTTTTTATCATAGTTGTTAGGAGGATATAATTGTCATATAAATCCTTGGTCTGGCAAAAGGTACATCTCTTTCCATTTCCGAAGGTGACAGAAAACCTGCCCTCCATCTAGACAGTATAGTTTCATGAATAATTGGTTTGCACATTCAATCTGATAGTGGAAAGATGAATATGAATATCCTGCTTATCTTAAATGTAAAATGAAAAAGCTAAATTTGCTTCCAGGTTAAGCATTTTTTTTAATAGTGCCATTGTCTCACATTCCTTCTGGTAAAACTTCATCATTTATTCAGCAACTCAGGCGTCTCCAATGCATTAATTGTGTAGATTGTAACCTAACAGACAGCCCTTGTTTTGCGAGTATAATATTCCTGGCACATACTTTAATTATCTGGCTTCTAAATAAGAAAGAAGGAAGACCTGAAAGCAGAATCAATTGATTAATGTAAAAATTAAACACCCCATTTGAATGAATGTCTTTTATCACTACCCCACGGTATGTAAGAAGTTGTGCTGTCACCACATTTAAAAGCTTTATAAAATATTTTAAATAAAATTTTAAAATCCATATGCAAAACATTACAGTTGCAAAGCCCATCATCAATAGTAATTAAGTCACAATCCCAAGACACAGATAAGCAACTCTTACTGCTTATCTTCCGGTTGTTCTATCCTCAGTGTACACATAACATGGACTGGTATCAGTCTTAGCTGACTACTAGCAAACAGACTATGCATCACTTTTACAACGTGGAAGACAATGAGAGAGCGTTTTCTGTGAGATTAGCAGACTATGTCTTTTCCTAAACTAAATTAGGCAAAGTAGGGCTTTTATTTGTCTTAAACAAATTAGGGTTCTAACATCACACTAACAGAGAACACAGAGAAAAAAAATGAGGTGAGGCAATGAAGTTAAGCTGATTTAATCAAGATCAGAAGCTGATCTTAGACCTTGGAATGAACTTCTCTCAATGAAAATGGTCTGTAAACTAGGACCGTACTACAGTACACTGAATATTTCATATCTTAAAGTGTGGTTCAAAATCTCCTTTTGTTCAAACACTTGTATATCTTATGAATACCGGATAAATATTTCTGAAAGAAGAGGCATTTACTCCTTTGTAACGCAAACACACAGAGCTCATAGTGTTTCCATATTGATGGTGATGGTAAGACACATTTCCTGCAGGAACAGCAAAATTAACTTAAGGTTCAGTCTTATGATATTATTCTAATGCCACATGGTGACTCAGCGATTCCTCTCCTATGAAGCTATACCTTTTACTTTTAATAAAGACATTTTCTTCTGTAGAAAACAAACTCTAGCTGCAATAGGGCAGCTAAACCAGTGCATTATCTATATAATAGGGTTAAATAATTTATTCCCTATTAAGTCTATATGGTTGCTACCTCCTCTTTCAACTTCAGAAGAAACTCCTGGCTTGATGCATCAGTTTAGCTGTTTAATGAGATGCAGAATATATAGTTTTCTTCCTTTTTTTTTCAATCTGTTTATATATCCCACAATATTCCCATTGATTGCTGAAACTGTATAAGGGTAAGCAACTTCAGCTTTCTCGTTAATGCTTTTCTTCTGACAGCTGTAGAAAGACTCAGTATAATCTCATCATCTTGTAGTCATTAGAATATGCTCTCACACAGATTTCTCTCAGCCTACCGATTGTTAATTTAAACCTCTACAGTCATTGATGTGCGAAGTTTAGGTGTCTCCTTTTAGCAGGACTAATGTCTTACACATTTCCCAAACACTGATATTTCCCTTAGAAAGTCTTTTTCTATAGAGGTTTTTTTCCCAATTAAATAGCATTTTTTTCTGGTTCCCAAAACTCTGGATTTGTGAGCCTAGTTCCTAGACAGTGTTAGGTAAGTCAAGTCTTCTGCCTCTTTTCATTCTATGAAAACATTTCCAAAGGAGCTGCAGTGCTTCAGGAGCTGCAGCAATTAAGATTTGTGTTGCAAAGGTTTATTTTGTTAATTGTTTCCATACTTATAACAAAAATTAGCCAAGAGCTGTTTATAAAAACTGCTTTATGCCTCAAGGAGGCAAAAGAAAGCTCTATTGCTGCAAGCATTACTGCTGTGAATATCTCCACTCATTTAGGAAAATGAAACAGCACACTACAATTTTTTTTGCTGAGCATTTCCTGTGGATCCAGAGGTAGCTTCCTATATGGTGCTGGCTCCATGCTCTCTGATTTCCTAAAAGGTTTTAATGTTAAGCTACTAATATTCTACATTAAAAATAATTGTAAATAATACTTTTTGCAGATAATTGCTACTAGTGTCATTTGGGCTATCATATAATCTTGAAAGAATGAAGAAAAAATAATGCTCTCTTGAATGCAAAAATTGCAGTTTAAACATTAGTCCTTACTGTAGAAAAGTTGGAGAATTCCTGGGTGAGACTATTGGGAAAAGTCAGTAAGTGCTGAAGAATAACAGAAGTGGGGAGAGAATAGCAGCAACCGCAGAAGAGCCTGCAGAGGGGTATGAAGCAATGATTGCACAGGAATGGCTGCTCAGGGTCAGGCAGAGGATCCATCTAACCCAACATTCTGTCTCTACTAGAGGTTACAAGTAGATATCCCGGGGAAAGCAAGAACAGTAACATATGGTACTTCCTAAGTATCAACTTTCAAATTCACATGTTTAAATAAGGAAGATGATGACTAATGAGGCCATAAATCTTTCATAGTTTATGAAAACAACACAGTCCTGAAATTTGTCTAACAAAGTACTTAGTCAAGATGCTCTTTGCAAAAACCCAAAATGTGGTTTTCTGAAGTTCCTCACATTGCCATCACAACTACCAGTGCTGAATGAAATCAAATGAATCTGCAGAAGGGCAGCATATTGGACTGCCAATTACAAAACTGGCAAAATGAAATCCTGATCATGCAAATAGATCAATGAGGGTTTTTTCATGTAAGTCAAACAGACAACCAGGACCAAAGCTGAAAAAAATAATTACCCAAGCACCAGTTCTCTGATCCAAAGAATTATTTGGTTTTGGACACAGGCTTAAGAAAGAATTGGAAAATTGCAAAGATCATGATTGGGAAAGTATCTGTGACACTCTTCGAACAGAAATTGAAATTCTGCAAATGGTATGCCATTTTCATTATGCACTTTTAAGTGTTTGATAATTTTACTTTTAAGGGTGTAATTTAAGATGATTAGCAGTGGGTTTAGATAAGCAGACTTTTTTACTATATACATAGCCAAACATCCTTGCATTACTGGTGCACTCCAATTCTTACTTGTTTTAGCCTATTATTTTCAAATGTCCAGGAATATAATTTATCACAGAAAAGAGAAGCACAGGAAACAATTTAAAGATACATTTTTAGCACAAGAAAGACTTGTTTGGGGGAGTAGTACTAATCATCAATTTCTTGAAAGCTGCAAAAGATTGCGCATTTAGGAGCTAAATTAATATTTACCTCCAGCTGTCAGTTAAATGGAAGATGGAAGTATGGAGAAATGGGACGATAATAGCATCCTTTTATGTAATATTTTATTTTGTCCACTCAACAAATTACTTACAAAAACTTATTAAAATGTGGTTTTTCTCTAGATGTGAATCCTAGCTTCAAATTTCTTGATTGTCAGTCTGTGTAACAAAGAGAAAAAATATTTTGAAGTCCCATTTTTGGAAATAAAGAGGTATATAAGGTTCCTTTCAGAGCCCTTGATCTTATAGCAGTCTTCCAGTACCTGAAGGGGGCCTGCAAGAAAGCTGGAGAGGGACTTTTTACAAGGGTATATAGTGACAGGACAAGGGGCAATGGCTTTAAACTGAAAGAGGGCAGATTTTTATTAAATATAAGGAAGACATTTTTTACATTGAGGGTGATGACGCACTGGAACGAGTTGCCCAGAGAAGTTGTGGATGCCCCATCCCTGGAAGTGTTCAAGGCCGGGCTGGATGAGGCTTTGAGCAACCCGTAGTGGAGGGTGTCCCTGCCCATGGCAGGGGTGTTGGAACTAGATGACCTTTGAGGTCCCTTCCAACCCAAACCATTCTATGATTCTATGATTGAGCCGTATGAAGATGCAGCTGCCACTAGCATCAATAGCAGAGTAACAGTTACAGGAAAGTTGCATTACTCACTTATATGATGACTTTCAAGTTTCTGTTGGAGGAATGTAACTTATTTGTACTTTATGAAACAAACAAACAAAAAGGCTCATTTTTTAAAAACTCTGTAAAGAACACATGCATTATATTTCATTTTCTATAATTCAATCCTTTTTTTTTCCAGAATCTATCACAAAAAAAGTCTTCAAACAAGTGAATAATAAATGGCATATGATATGGAGCATCATAGAAGCTAGTCTGAGTATTTTAAAACCATTTTAATTACTCTATCAGGTTTGCTTCTATTTCTTTGATTAAACCACAGTTTGTGTCTGCCTTTACTTTTCATTAAAATAAAATTTTTATTCATTTACAAGTGGTGGGTATTTTGTGTTTTATCCTCAAATTCAACAGCTATCCATCTTTAGTTTCCTCTTTTTTGCCCGTAAATAGACAGTACATCGTCCACTACACGTACAGGTGAGTTCCTATATAACCAGGTACTATTTTTTAGAATGAATGCTCTCCTAATTTTAAGGTAGTGATGTGGTCTTATTTGAGAGGAAGACTACTATCACCATCAAGAAATATTTAACAGGAGCACTGACTATTTAGTGTATACCCTGACAATGCAGTTCGGTAACAATCTCTCTGAAACAGCTTAACTCCAGCAACACTGGATGATAGTCCAGAATAGTTTCCAAATCTGCTGATCAGTAAATGCCTGCAGTGATGGTAAGGCAGTCCATTACTTGTCTTCTGATCACATCAGAAGTCTTCTGTTCTTCCTCTCTCACAACACACAAAACACTGAGTGCTATCTTCAGCACTTGACAGCAAAGATAAAACTGTATTCTAGACAAAAAGGCCACATTTCTAGGGAATTGATGAAGAATTCCCGCTGAATAAGGAACCCTATTCATTCAAGCATGCAGGACATATAACTGCTAAATCAGTTCCCAACCTCACAGTAGGAACTGACTTTATGATTCAGGTGCTTACAACAGGACCACGTAAAAACATTCCCTCTGCTCAGCTGCAGTACACTCTATGGTCATCGTCTTATCACATCCAACTGTGTGTGAAAATAATTTTCAATCTGCTTCCCACCCAGGGGATGAGATGGATAACTGCTCTTCACTAGTTTTTCTACAGCCCGAGCTCTCCAAGCTACAGAGGGTGTTTGTCACGCATAAAACTGCAAAAGATGTTTTATTAAGACGGGAGGAATAAATCACTTTTGGAAGCTGACCAAGTTCTGCCTGTGATGGAGAGTTTTTCCCTCTTGGGACATAGCTGCAGTTTGAAGTCTGGCAAGGTTTGATCTGCAGCACTGGTATCAAAGAATATTCTGATCCACTGAGTTAACTAGGATAATTTCAAGAGGTTGGAATTATCATTCTTAATAACCAGTGCTGTTGGAGCTGACATCCTTGTAAGGTTTTTTTTTTTGTCTTTTCTCTGAGAGAGATCCTCTCAGGACATGCTTAATTTTAAACAACTTAGTCTCTCTGACTTCTGTGGGACTATCTGACTCCTTTAAAGTGGGGCAACTACTGCTTGTGGGCTTTGATCAAATCCAGGGCATATTGCAAAATGATAAAGTTGCATATCAGAGTGTCTATAGACAGCTAAAGCAATGCTGTTTCTGGGTTTAATTGCTGGAAAGAGATATAAATTTGGGATTTGCTAGGATGGCTGAGTTTATCCTGATCATTTTATTCATTTAAGGGAGATTGCTTATGTTAAGTGTATTGGTTAATCCACCAGGAAAACTTATTGTTAAACTTCAGGTTTATCTGCTTGTAGTCGCTTTTATTTATAAGAATCCTTGCATCTCTTTTGCAATTGTCTCGTATTTATATAGTTGTTCTGTCCATATAGATTAAATACTCAGATATGACATGAAATAGAACTCATTGGCTTATACCCATGGTCTACATATACCTTTCAGCCCTTGCCAGGAGAAACATCATTCGATAACTATCAATAAATAATATAAATTCATGTCCCTAAGTAGCCTGAAAAAACATCTGGGGAAAAGAAATATGGTAAGACCTTTCCAGAGATACTTCAGATTCCAGGAAACTAGCTGCAACTTCAGTTCTTGGGGAGTTTTTGTTTGTTGTGGGATGTTTTAATAGCTGCAAAGGTCTAAGTTCTTGATTACTGTAGTAGAATTACAGCATAAATATAGCAATATTTGTAATAACTCGAATGGCTAAAGCTCTCAGAATCAATATACCAACAAAACAAGAATAAAGCTCTCCAAAAAAACTGAAACAGAAATCAATACAAATCCTATTGGGCTAAACAAATCCCTCAACAGCTCTGGAAAAATATAGCGCCAGACTAAACCAGCTGTTGCAGGGTGAATGTAAAACACTCTAATTTCTCCAAGTATAAAAATACATTTGTCACCCCTGTCTTACAAATAATGTAATTTGGGACCAACATAATATTTCTGTTCAGAAGACTCAAACTGAAAATTGAGCAGAAGTTTGCATTTTGTAGATTTTCTTTAAAATTCTCAAACCAGGGATGAGTAATCTTTTAAATAATGAGTGAAAAAGAGTGAAATCTTTTGTCTTGTTTAACAAGTATGTTAAAGAACAGAACATTGCCAAATTGCCATGAAAACAGTTGTTTTGAATAAATACATTATTTCAGATGACATAGTAAAGAAATTTTTTTTTAAGGGATAGATTAGATAGATTATATATTATATATCTTGCATATGAGAGTCTGGACTAACTTCTGTGGCCAGAGGAAGTAGTTGTTCCTTTTTGTGACCAAAAAAGGACCGATTAGAGTCATAGAAATACTTGAAGCGGTTAGTGACAAAGAGGAAGACAGCTCAAGAAAGAAGTTATTACTCTAGAGAAAAAAAGGTATAGGGAAAAGTAGCCATGCTTCTCTATTGGACCCAGGAACAGTTGCTTTTTAGGATCAACAGATAAAAGCTCCCTTATTTTGAAGAGAGCCAGAGAAATACTTGAGATTACTAAATTTACCTCATAAGGACTGAGATTTGCCAAGCATCCAGTCCCACGTCTTTCACAAAAGATTTGATGAATGGCAGTTTTATCTCAGGCTTACACACTGACATCACAGTGCCTCTCTGCTGTGACCACATACCTAAGACACAGCTGAGCAGCCCGTTTTTTTTATCATCAACTCACAGCTCCCAGCCATGCTTTGTAAAAGACATTCCCCAGTAGCAGACTAATGCAAACAGATTATTGCAAAGGAGAATCCAAGATCCAGTTTAAAAATAATCTAACAGGAAAATAATTAAGCCAGGCCATGGACCTGAGAAGGCTTAGGAAAAATCACTGAACTTTCAAAAAGAGTTTACCAGCCAGGGTGAGTAAGGTCTGACCATAGAAGCCTAAAAGAGAAAGTCTATCAAACCCTGAATCTGTAGGATTACAAATTAGCCTTATGAGTTTGGAGGCAGAGCAAGGACAAGCCAAGGTCAGGAGCCAAAGAAACTGGTAGATATACTAAGCCAAAATCATGGTCAGAGGCCATGCCGAGGGGGAAAAGACCCAAGAACCTCCATAGCCAATAAGTCAGCAGACCAAGCACAAACCGCAGTGAAGATGCGGCAAAGTAAAAAGCCCTCCCATGACCTAACGTTATTTACCCAGATATGTACCTATTCTAGAAACAAGAAACAGCTACAACTAGGAGGGGAAAAAAAAAAAAAAAGGAGTCAAAATGCGATTTATTTCTTATAAAAAGGAGTTAAACTAACACATTTTCATGTTATTTTATTTATTATTTTTATTAACAGCCAATTCAAAGACTACCAAGAAAAGCACTACGATATCTGACCACAGAATAAAATTAATTGGCTAATGCAACAGTACCCACCCAAATTATCACCCAAACTGCCAGAAACAGCCACAGACTCCAAGTTCTATGTAGGGGACACGCTAGCTCTGATTCTCTGAAGAGCCAAACTCAAGACACATCCACACATTCACAGTCACCTCCGGTCACCCTGTCGACACATGTAAGGTTTGAATGCTTTTCAGCACGAGACTGTCATTGGCAGAAACCTTGTATTTCATATACTTTTTGACTAAAATTGTATCAGAAAATATAATACCTCACTTGCACCTTTTAAAAATATTGGATATGTTACACTAAACTATTTAGCTTCTGCATTTCTTCAACCAGACCTATACAGTAATTCCCTGATAATACCAGCTTTCACCACTCCTGTGATCGCTTCCATCAGCGCAAGTCTGTCAGCCTGGATAGCTGAGAAGCTTAAAAAGCTCTTTGGAAATGTGAAGTGAGAGCTGATTCCTTTCTTCCCACATAATGTCTTGAGTATTTAAAGATGGCATCTACTCGTTCGGAAGGAACAGCTTTACAGCGATCAATTTTATATGTAAATAATTTATTAAATAGATGAAACACCAGAAAAGAGTCTTTATAAGTACACAGAGTGTTTATTGGGTTTTACTGAAACAATAATTCCTGTTATTGTGTACTAATAAATTGCCAGGCAGTCTTGATTCCATGTCCTGGTGGTGAGAGATGAACCCATAGCCTCTGTTACACTTCAGAATAGAGAATTCCTGTAATTTATTTAACTAAACTTACTCTAGCAGGAAGAGAACAAGGTCTAGCCAGTAATCAAACTATGGATTGGAATGGTGTTTAATTCCATGTGCTAAGGAGCATTTGATGTAATTTGGTACTGATTAAGTTCCCTTAAACAAATTCTCTGAACATGTAAGTGCATAAAGGTAATTCAGATGATCATAAACTAAACAGTGAAAGGTGTATTGCGTAAAATACACAGAAACAGAAAATTAATCCTGTCCAATATCAGAGTTCTATGTCCCTCGGATTCTTCATACTATGTCTCATATATTCCTTTTAGTTTTGATGAAAATATACAGATAATCAGGTTACCAAAGTGAGAGGATTTGTACAGGGATGTTTTAGTGCCATCTAGTGGTTTTTTCCTTTAACAAAAAATGTTCCCTCTCGAATGACAATTTTCATTTTATAATTGTAATCAGAAAACACTTTTTGCTACTGCTATATGCTTAATTTTTTCCTCAATGTAATACATAATGATGTTGGACACGTTACCTTTAAAATACTTCTACTGACTCTGTCTAAGGATATACTATTTCTGTGCAAAAATCTAATAACTACCACGCAGTGTGGGAATATACTAAACTACGTTAT